GGCTGATTTTTTGATTTATTGTAGAGATGAGGTCTCGCCTGTCCAGGCGGGTCTCGAACCCGTGGGCTCAGGCAATCCACTCACCTCAGCCTCACCAAAGGCGCGGGATTACAGGCTGAGCCACCGAGCCTGGCTGCGATTGAATTCTTTAAGCGATGTGCACGGATAACACGGATCAAAATAAAAGCCGAAAATGCTTAATGAAAACAAGAGTGGGCCCAGCAGAGCAGGACATCTCCAGGCACGGGATGCTCTCGCCCCCGGGCCTTGGGGGAGATGCTTGAGAAGTGGCCCAGAGCACTGGAGCTCAGGAGATGGCTAGTGGCTAGACACATGGGTTCTGGCTTCCCACAGCCCTGGGGGCCTCTGGGCTTGGCCGCTGTCAGATGGCAGAGCCCTGAGCTCAGTCTCCACTGGGAGATGGTCGGGCGGTTCCTGCCCGGGCAGCGGAGAGAGCAGGCCACGGGTCCCTGAGGGGGCGGCCACCTTGTCGCTCATGGCCTGCAGTTGCTGCATCCGTTCCCGGAGCTCCTGCTGCAGCACCTCGTTCTCCGTGTCCACCCGCCGCAGCTGGGACTCTTGGAATTGCACTTGTCGTTGCAAGGACGTGATGGTGGCTGAGTGTGCACAGAGAGGATGGCAGGGACAGGAAGAGGCCGTGAGGGACGGGAGAGAGGGCCCTGCACCCCCCGCTGCCTCCCACGCCCTCCAGCCCCAGCCCTACCTATGGCCAGGGAGTATCTGGTCCTGGTGGTCTCCAGCGCGCTCTGGAACTCCAGGATCGCGCGCTCAAACTCTTCCAGCTGAGCCAGCAGCTCCTCCTCGAAGGACTCGCCTTGTGTCACGTAGGCCCTTCTCCACAGGCTCTCATCTTCCTCCAGCAGCTCCCAGTCCTCCTCTTCCTTCTCATCCCCTATCTCCTCCTCCTTAATTCCCTCCTCATGCACAGCGCCCATCTGGCCCCTGGCCCCTGCGTCCTCCACCCCCTCGGGCTCCCTGGTCAGGCCCTCCTCCTCCTCGCCGCCCGGTTCTGGCTCCTTGGCTCTCTTGACCGTGGCAGACTCTTCCTGCATCTGGAAGAGGGCATGGGAGGGGCTGGACTGGGCAGGGCTGCTGGGCACCCCGGGACACCGGGTCCTTGGGAGGGTGCCTCCTTCCGAGCTGCCATGAAGTCCAGGGAGAGAGGGAACGCCCCTGGGCAGGGCCACCAGCAGCACCTGGGCACTGAGGCCTCCCACCATCAGGAGGCTGCACCTGACCGTCACCTTCTCTGCTCCCCAGAGGGTGGCTGGGCATCTGCACCTAGGAGGGCCACCCAGGCAGGGCTGCGGGCGGGGACAGCCAGGGCCTGTGCTTCCTGAGCAGCCTGGTGGCTCCTGGGCCCCGCCGCGCACCTGTCTCCCGCACCTGTCTCCAGTGCTGCAGCTCCTCCTCCTCTCTGGAGGCCTTGGGGATGCTCAGCCCGCCCAGCTTCAGCGAGGCTTCCGAGGGCCGCTCCTGCAAGACGCCTGGGTGAGCCGCAGGCCTCCCAGGCGCCCCCACAGGACGCGCCCCTGCTGCCTGGCCTGGACAGCGGCAGCTGCCTCTCATGTCTGGGTGGGGGAACCCGCATCCTTCTGCCAAGGTGAGGGCCATGTCAGCCAAGGGATGCAGTGACCTGCAGATGGGCAGCCCTGGGGGACTGTAGGATATTGGGCACTCCCAGAGGAGTTCCCAGCAAGTGGCCTTGCGGTCACGAGTTCACTTATTTGGAAAGTAGAGGGGCCACAGACATGCCCACTTTGCAGGTCACTGCCCTGGTGCCTTATCCACTGACACCCACACAACGGCCTTGGGAGGATGGGGAATGGAAACTCTGCCTGCTGCTTCCCCCACTATCTGTGTCTTTTTCTGGGGGCGTCCACAGTGTTCAGCATGGCCAACAGGCCCCCACATCATATCTGCCCTGGCGTAAACTTGGGCTGTGTCCTCGGGTATGAAAGAAGTCAGGTCCTAGGAAGGTGAGGTGAGGTGACCTGCCCTGTCCAGTCCTACACCCAGACCCTGAGGAGGGGCACCAACATCACCCAGTCCCTTCCCCATGGCGACCTCACAGCTGGCAAGTGGAGAGAAGAGGTTCATGGCCAGACCACGCTCGTCCACGCTCCTGCTGCCCATGCACTCATGGCAAGGCCGAGGGAGTTCCCCTGCAGGGTGGCCTTCCATGCCCCGGGATTTCAGAGGGGTGCTCAGCCCTCACTGAGAGGGAGGGAAACTGAGTCTCGAAAGTACCATGACTCACCCGGGTAGAAAACTCGCCCGGGTGGAAAAGTCAGAAGCACAGCGTGGGTGGCTAGATGTCCGGCTCTCGCTGTCCATTTCTCTCTCTGTTGGCCTCTCCCCTGCATTCTGGCCCGTCTCGGACCCTGAGACCCAGCCTGCACCCCAGGGAGTATCTGGGAGCCCTCCAGGGGGCCTGGAGATGTGCTAGAGGCCTGTGGTCACCCACAGGCTTGGACGCCTTGGGAATGGAAGGTCTTGGAGCCCCACACTGCCCCGAGAGCCAGCTCACCCTCATGCCCAGGGACATGGATGCATGTCGGACTTTGCCTTTGAGGAGGCCTTTCAGCTGCTTCTTCAGGGACTCCCTCTCCTCTCGGAGCACCAGGATCTCCTGATCCTTCTTCTGAACCTCTGTCTCCAGGTTGGAGAGGCGCTGCACTTCCTTTCCCAGCAGCAATAGGCGGTGATCCTGCACAGGAAATCCGGGCAGCCTTATGGGCCATGCAGCCTCTTCCCTCCTCCTTGCCTCCAGGCCACAGAACATGGATTCCCAGCCTGGGAGGAGCAGATCCACGGTCCTGGAGCCCTGGAACCCCAGGACCAAGATGTGTACTTCCAGCTCCTGCAGCCACGCCTGTGTGTCAATGCCTTTGTAGCTGTCCTGAGAGCAGGTCCTCGGTCCTTGTCCAGGGAGAGTTGGGAAGCTTCCCTTTCAGGCCTGGCCCATGGCCAGTCCCCATCCCCCACCTTAATGCAGGACGCCAGTCTTCTATGTGACCTCCACACTTAGCCAGTGACTCCTAAGAGCCACCCCAGGGGCTTGTCAGGGACCTCTCAACCTTTCACTCTTCAAACTCCCTCAATTCTTCAAAATTAAAGACAAAAATAAAGTTGTTTCAGGGAAACAGAACCTAGAAGAATTTGTCGCCAGCTGATGTGAACTTAGAGAAATACTCAAGGGAATTCTGCAGGCAGAAGGAAAATGATCCCACAGAATATTCTGGAAGGAAAAATATCTAGAAAGTCTCCCAAATGTTTGGAAATTAAATGATAGGCTTCTTCTATATAGCCCAGGGGTCAAAAAAGAAGTCACAAAGGAAGTTAGAAAACATTTTGGGCCAGGCTCGGTGGCTCAGCCTGTAATCCTGCACTTTGGAAGGCTGAGGTGAGTGGATTGCCTGAGCCCACGGCTACGAGCCCCACCTGGGCAACTTGGCGAGACCTCATCTCTACAATAAATCAAAAAATTAGCCGGGCATGGTAGCGCGCACCTGTAGTTCCAGCTACTTGGAAGGCTGAAGTGGAAGGATTGTTTGAGCCCAGCCGGTCGAGAGTGAGACTCCGACTCAAAAAAAAAAAAAAAAAGGAAACATTTTGAACTCCACGATAACAAACATTTGGGCACTTGGAAACTTGTGGGATGCAGCTAAAGTTGTGATTAAAGGCAAACTAATAGCCTTAAAATGCATGTATTGGGCAACCTCCTCAGGTCCCCTCCTGCTCTGGGAGCTTTTCTATCCTCTCAATGAATCCTGCTTTTAAAAAAAATAATGAGGCTGGGCTCAGTGGCTCAGTCTGTAATCCCAGCACTTTGGGAGGCCAAGGCGAGTGGATTGCCTGAGACCACGGGTTTGAGACCAGCCCGGGCTGCTTGGCGAGACCTCGTCTCTACAATAAAATAAAAAATAGCTGGGCGTGGTAGCACGCGTCTGTAGTTCTGGCACTCGGAAGGCTGAGGTGGAAGGATTGCCGGAGCCCAGTAGGTTGACGCTGGGGTGGCCATGAGCATGTGTGCCACCGCACTCTAGCCTGGGTGAAGGAGTGAGACTGCAATTCTAAAAGAAAAAATAATGCATGTATTGGCCGAGGAGAGAGGATTGCCTTAGTCCATGGGTTTGAGACCTGTCTGGGCAACTTGGCAAGACCTCATCTCTACGATAAATCAAAAAACTAGCCAGGTGTGGTGGGGCATGCCTGTAGTTCCAGCTACTTGGAAGGCTCAGCTGGAAGGATTGCCTGAGCCCAGCAGTTTGAGGCTGCAGTGGCGATGAACGTGCCACTGCCCTCCAGACTGGGCAGCAGAGTGAGACTCTGACTCAAAACAAAAAACAAACAAAACAAAACAAAACAAAAACGCATGTATTGGGGAGACATGGAACATCAACGTTCTAAGTATCCATCTCAAGAATTCAAGCCGGGCTCGGGGGCTCAGCCTGTAATCCCGCACCTCATGGAGGCTGAGGTGAGTGGATTGCCTGAGTCCTCGGGTTTGAGACCCGCTTGGGCAACTTGGCGAGACCTCATCTCTACAACAAATCAAAGAAAAAATTAGCCGGGCGTGGTAGCGCGCGCCTGTAGTTCCAGCTACTTGGAAGGGTGAGGCGGAAAGATCGCTGGAGCCCAGCAGGTCGAGGCTGCAGTGACTGGGAGCGGCCACTACTCTCCAGTCTGGGTGACAGAGTGAGACCCCAACTCAAAAAAAAAAAGAATTCAGGGAAAGAACTGAAACTTAGACCTAAAGAGAATAGAAGGAAACAAAGTAGGTGCAAAAATTAATGATATAAAGAGGGAGGGAGAGAGAGGGGGAGGGGGAGAGAGAAGACCCCAGTAAACATGGCAACACTTAGCATCTGGGGGATCTTTAGATATGTGGGAAATTGCACTGTGGGTTCTTATGACTGTTCTTTATGTCTGAAACACAAAGTTAAAGGGAAAAACAATAACGCAGAAACCGCGTTTCATCACCCTGGCCATGGTCGCTTGAGATACTTGCGCGTGTCTGGAAATAGCCCAGTGACTGCTGTTGGGGCTGCTGAGTTTACATGATATAAACGTGTTGCTGCATGTGAGTCCCTCGCTGCCAAAGGAGAAGAGCTTATGGCAGCTTGGATGAAGGCAGACATGAGATGAAGAGCACCTTGGGGACACCACTGCAGCTCCTGGAGGAAGCCACACCAGCAGCCCTTTCCTACCACGGTTCACAGACATGATCTGGTAAATCCCTACTCTCCCATTTGGATTAAGAACAGTGTATAGGGAACATCCTTTTACCTATTATTGTGTCATTCTAGCCACGTGTATCCTCAGGCTGTTTCTCGGAAATGAAATTGCTTGATCAAAGGGTAGAAACATTGTTTTTTTTGTCACTCTGTTGCCCAGACTGGAGTACAGTGATGCAATGGGGCTCGCTACAGCCCCAACCTCTTGGACTCAAGTGATCTTCCCTCCTCGGCCTCCAGAGTAGCCAGGACTGTGGATGGGCACCACCACACCCAGCTAGGAACACCTTTTCATCTCTGATGATAGGCAGAGAGAGTTTCAGGAGTAACAAACAATGAATATTGAGGGTCCACACTGCCTCGGACTCACAAGCCCCATTGTGCTTCCACCCGATCTCTGTCCTGCCCTGCCCCCCACCAGCTCTCCAACATTTTGTTACATGTCCATAATTTTTTTTTTTTTTGAGTTGTAGTCTCACTTTGTCACCCAGACCAGAGTGCAGTGGCCGCTCCCGGCCACCACAGCCTCAACCTGCTGGGCCCTGGGATCCTTCCGCCTCAGCCTTCCGAGTAGCTGGAACTACAGGCGTGTGCTACCACGCCCGGATAATTTTTTGATTTATTGTAGAGATGAGTTCTCGCCCAGTTGCCCAGGCGGGTCTTGAACCCGCAGGCTCAGACAATCCAATCACCTTGGCCTCCAAAAGCGTGGGATTACAGGCTGAGCCACCGAACCCAGTTTACAGGTCCATAATTTTCATTATCAGCGTAAGGAAAAGGATGAAAAAGACAGAAAATAAACACAGACTAGAGAAAATCGACACAAGCTATGGCTGACTCTAAGAGAAGGTAGTTGAAATTCACAAACCCCCAGCAAGACTGACAGAGGGAGAAGAAGAACCCCCAGAGCTGCCCACACCAGGAGAGAAAGAGGCGGCCCCTGCATAGGCCGTGACCACAGGAAGGTTGGTGACTGTCCTTGCATTATGCACAGTGTTAGGCTAATCAGTACTGACACAATAAATAGATGCATTCCTAGAAAAACACAGCATACTGGCCAGGCTCAGTGGCTTAGCCTATAATCCCAGCACTCTGGGGGGCTGAGGCGAGTGGATTGCCTGAGTCCGCGGGTTCGAGACCCACCCAGGCAACCTGGTGAGACCTTGTCTCTACAATTAAAAAAAAAAAAATTAGCCGGGCGTGGTAGCATGCACCTGTGGTTCTAGCTACTTGGAAGGCTGAGGCGGAAGGATCGCCCGAGCCCCGCAGGTCAAGACTGCAGTGGCCAGGAGCATACCTCTGCACTCCAGTTTGGGTGACAGAGTGAGACTCAAACTCAAACCCCACCCCAAAACAAAAAAACAGCATACTAACACTGAAGCGAGAGGAAAATGGAGATCGGAATATTCTTTGAGGGAATTGAATTCATAATTTTTTTTTTTTTTTGAGTCTGGGTCTCACTATATTGCCCTTGCTGGAGTGCAGTGACATATTCACGGCCACCACAGCCTCAACCTGCTGGGCTCTGGTGGTCCTTCCGCCTCAGCCTTCCAGGTAGCTGAAATCACAGGCGTGTGCCACCACCCCTGGGTAATTTTTTGATTTCTTGTAGAGAGGAGGTCTTGCCATGTTGCCCAGGCTGGTCTTGAACCCCTGGGTTCAGGCAATCCTCTCGCCTCCACCTCCCAAAGTGGGATTACAGGGATGAGCCACACCGTGCCCAGCTCAAATTCATGATTTTCTAAAAAGTGCCCCTGTAAGAAATCTCTAGGCAAAGATGCTTTCAATGGTGAATTCTCCAGACTCTAAGGCAGGAATAACACCAGTCTTATGCACACTCTTCCAGAGAATAAGAAAGAATAAAGGAAATGCTTGCCAATCTTTAAAAAGAAATGAGGCCAGAATAACTATGACACCAAAATTTGACCAGAGAATTACAAGACTGGTAAATTATAGATCAGTCCCTTTTATAATCATAGATTTAAAAAATAACCCTGCAATAAATTGACTGGTATGCAAACCTTTGCATATCAAGCAGGTTATTGTTATTCTTTAGAAAACATAGCCGGGCTCGGTGGCTCAGCCTGTAATCCCACACCTTTGGGAGGCTGAGGTGAGTGGATTGCCTGAGCCCACGGGTTCGAGACCCGCCTGGGCAGCGAGACTTCATCTCTACGATAAATCAAAAAATCAGCCGGGCATGGTAGCGCATGGGGTAGCACGCGCCTATAATTCTGGCTACTTGGAAGGCTGAGGTGGAAGAATCACCGGAGCCCAGCAGGTCGAGGCTGCAGTGACCGGGAGCGGCCACTGCGCTCCAGTCTGGGCGACAGAGTGAGACTCCAACTCGAAAAAAAAAAAAGAAAACATGTGCTGGTATGTCAGAGAGTTCCATGCTGGTGTGACTGCCACCCACCAGGAAAACGATGGACCGGGCCCGGTACGTTTGTCAAGCAGGGGGTCTGCAGGTCACTTTAGGTCATATTTGGGGGTCTGTTTGATACAGCTAACGAGATACTGGAATAAGAGCCCCTCGTGGGGTGGGCAGGGCCAGCCCCTCTGATGGGACACAGAACCAGGGAGCAGGGCTGGGACTCAGACTCCTAGGCCAGTACCTTCTCATGGATGACTGAGAGGTACCAGGGTATCCTCTTTCTCAGGTAGCTCTGGGGTGCGACAGAGCTGCTGGTGACTGGTTTCAAAGTCTGGGATTCACTCCTCTTCTGCACGTAATTGAACTCAGAGACACTCTTGCTAAACAGAAGGAAGCGCCCTGGGAGGAAGCAGAGACCAGGCGAGAAATTAGACTTGTCCTTGCCAGGCTGCTCTGGCGTCTTGGATGACAGCGTCCACCCTTTCGAGACTTCGCTCAGTGACCCCTGTCTGCCCAGGTAGACTCTGTCTCCTAATTCTTCTGCCATAGTTCAAGGATATGGTGAAGCACTGCCATGAACACGCCTGCATGTCCACACCCAGTGCAGCGTGTTGAGCTGTCCAAGATGCCCAGAGGGAGGCACAGGGCCTGGTGAGGGATCATCCTGGTGCTGCCCCTGTGCACCCAATAGCCTGTCCCTTCCTTGGGCCTCAGTTTCCCCATCTTTAAACTGAGCGGGGAGAATCCCCTCCTTCCTGAGCCCGAGGAAAGCTGGACACCATAGGCTCTAGGTTTCCTCAAATTAAGGTGGAGAAGGAGACATCTATGAAAACAAGTCTGTTTGTAGGAGCCGTGTTGATGGGTCTCTCCTTCGGGAAGGAAGGACGTCTCCCATGAGCCTCTGTGTGAGGTCGGGTGGGGGACAGAACCTCCCAATACAGTCTTGCCAAGACAAGGAATCACGGTCCTGGGGGATTGCCAGTTCTACATTGGGGGTGGGGGACTGTCCTCCGAGTCTCCAGAGGCAGGCAGGCCTGGGAAGGGGTTCCATGGGAGTGGGTGGCTGCCCAGGGGAGCAGATCTTGTGCCCGGGGCCCCCTCACCGTCCACGTTCGTGTCTGAGCCCCTTCTGCCCAAGACTGGTTCCTGGCTGCCCCTCCAGGTCTCCACCATGTTGCACACCTCCCGGGGCACCTCGGCCATGCTGGCTGGGCCTGCAGGGTGTTAAAGATGCCGACTGGCGACTGCCGATGTCTCTGCTCCCCTGGTCTTCAGGAAAGAGACTTCTCCGTTTAAGAATCGGGGGGGTGAAGGTGACTTTTCGAGCTGGACATGGTGGCTTACGTCTGTAAACCCACGTCTGGGAGGCCGCAGTGGGAGGATTGCCTGAGGCCAGGAGTTTGAGACCAGCCTGGGTAACAAAGCAAAACTCTATCTCTACCAAAAAATAGAAAAATGAGTTGGGCATGGTGGCATGGACCTTCAGCCCCAGCAACTCGGGAGGCTGAGATAGGAGGATTGCTTGAGCCCAAGAGTTGGAGGTTTCAGAGAGCTGTGCTCACGCCCCTGCACTCCAGCCTGGGTGACAGAATAAGATGGATCTTGATGGATCTGTGGGATTGGGTCAAAGTGTGGGCTCCATCCCTCTGCCCCCCCCAGTGTGTCGGCTTCAGCAGACCCGACGCAGTGGGGTCTGCAGCTGATGCCTCCTCCTTGCAGAAGGGCAGACCCCACTTTCCTTCTGTAAAAAAGTGCCTCCTGAAAGCCTTGCAGAAGCCCCCGCCTCTAGACCAGCCCACTCAAGAGTCAACCCCTTTCCCCCTCAACTATCATGAATTGTCGCAATGTCCTGTGAGCAGTACGTGGGCACAGGCCCCACACCCAGGATGTCACATGGCCCCTTGGCGCTCCCCGGAGACCTGCCCACCAGCTCATGGTTCCGGAGTGCTAATCACGCACTGAGACCCTCTCAATGAGAAAGGGGAGCTTGAAGTCCAGATAGGTGGGGCCCCACCTCTGCCCAACTGCCAACTGAGGCCCACGGATGGAGTCTCCCATTGCTGTCACAGGCACGAAGCCTCGAGCTTGCCAGCCCTAGGGGGTGTCTTGTGTGGGGGCATGGAACGAGCTCGGTCAGGAGCTGGAGGTTGGGGCGAAGTCCTGGCCCTGGCCAGTGTCCCCTGGGTGACCTTGAGCCTGAGCCACTTGCTCTGAGCCCTGCAGGGGTTAGACCAAATGACTGCTGAGGCTCCTATTGGTGTCTGTGTTCCTAGTGAGCTGTCTTTGGCCTCTGGGCCTCTTCCCCGAAGCTTCCAGAATCTTCAACCACGTCCTCTCCCCTGCTCCTCCATCCCACTGAATCTTTAGCGGATGAGACAACAGAAAAGCAAGAAGGTTGCAGCCATGAAAAAGAACAAGGCCGGTGCAGGGGCTCGCCCTGTAATCCCAGTGCTTTGGGAGGCTGAGGCAGGAGGATCACGTGAGCCCAGGAGTTCGAGACCAGCCTGAGCCTGACCCCGTCTCTACAGAAAGAAATTTTTTAAGGCCGGGTGTGGTGGCTCTGCCTGTAATCCCAGCCCTTTGGGAGACCAAAGCAAGAGGATTGCCTGAGCCTGGGGGTGGGAGACCAGCCTGGGCAACTTGGTAAGACCTCATCTCTACAATAAATCACAAAAAACTAGCCAGGTGTGGTGGCATGCATCTGTAGTTCCAGCTACTTGGAAGGCTGAGGTGGAAGGATCGCCTGAGCCCAGTAGGTCGAGGCTGCGGTGGCCATGAGTGTACCACTGCACTCCAGCCTGAGAGACAAACAGTGAGACTCCAACTCAAAATAAATTTTTTTAAATTAAAAAAAACCAACAAAATCATGTCCTTTGCAGCAATGTGGATGCAGCTGGAGGCCATTTTCCTAGGCAAATTAACGCAGAAACAGGAAACCAAACACCGCATGTTCTCACCTGTAAGTGTGCGCTAAACACCGGTACACACGGACATAAAGGTGAGAATGACAGATGCTGGGAACTCCTAAGAGGGGACAAGGCTTGAAAACAATCTGTAGGGTACCATGTTCACTATCTGAGTGACGGGCTCTGCAAAAGCCCAGACCTCAGCATCACACAATGTACCCAGGTAATAGACCTGCATGTGTGGCTCCAGGATCTAAGATAAAATTTTAATAAAGAGAAAAAGGCTGGAAGACAGATAATAATAACGACAACAGCAACAGGGAGAAGGCATCCTGCTGGCCATCCCCTCGGCCTTGCTGCTGCCTCCGACCTGGGCTCCTGGCACACGGTGAACTTCAAGAACAGGGGCCGTGGCCACTGTCCATGCTGGCTCCGGCTGCTGCTCGCAGCTGAAGCCCTCCCTCCCCCAACTCTGGCAGGGAGGCAGGTGGACCACAGGCAACCCTCCTGGGGTCACTTACCACAATGGGACATGGACGTGGCCCTGGTGATGAACTGGGGGCAGTTGGGACGCATGAGGAACAATTTCCGAAGTTCCTCCATTTCGGGCACGAAGCTGGAGAGGCTGTTGATGTCCTTGAGTTCACTCTGGACGAGCCGAAAAAAAGACAGTCACCAGAAGCAAGAGCAGGGAAGCCGCCTCCATTGAGGACTGAAAGGACACTGTGTGGGGGCCACTGCAGCGGCCTGTCCCCTCTGTCACGCAGCAAGAGGCACATAGACCCGCTTGAGAACCATGGTCCCTAATCAGGCAACGTGTCCGCTGGAGAGCCGCCGAGCCAGGGTGGCCGTCTCAGGCCCCAGCATGTGCTGAACATGGCTAGCCCCACAAGCTCCACTTTCCCTGGGGACTTTCTTGCCTCCCCTTCACTCTCCCAAGAAAGTCTTAGGGCAAACTGTGCGTCTCCCTCTGGGCTGGAGAGACAGGGGAGTCAAGTCTGCAGGGGGCGCCGGCCCAAGCAGCCAGCCCCCCAAAGCCCGCAGAGCATGGGGCTTGAGGACCGCAGCCCTTTGGAGAGGGACAAGGGCCACAGGGTTCTACCCTCCCACAGCGCTCAGTCCTCGGCCTGCCTGGAGTCTACCCCATCACCAGATGTCCGTGGAAGGCATTCTGGGCTGACATGAGGCCTCTGGGAGTGGAAGAGGTGGGCACTCCCAGCTTGCCCCCCGCCGTACCATCTTCCTGTGGTAGTGGCTGATGGCCTGAGCCGACCTGCTGAGCATGCTCGGCTTCTGGGGCAGTTTCAACGCTGGGAGCTGGGTGTCCCGGCTGGCCACGCTGTGGAGAAGCACCAGGCCCCTGGCCATGGAGCCGGACATGGAACTGTGCTGCCGGGACAAGCCGGCTTCCTGCGGCTGCATCAGGAGGGGGTCACAGGACCAAGGCTTGCTACCGGAGGACAGTCCCGGCTGCCCCTGAGAACCTCTCTTGAGCTTGGCTGGGGCATGGAGGGGAGGCCAGCCTCAAAAGTGGGCCTGCTGGCTCCAGGGCTCCAAGTCCCACGTGATACAGTGGTGGCATCACAGATGTCTCCATAGAAACAGGGCATGTCATCCTTGTCTCAATTTTCTGCAGTCGGGAGAAGGGGCCGGAAAGGGACCCGGAAGCAGTTCCCGCTGGCCCCCAGATGTGAATGTGTAGAAATGACTTCTCAAGTCGGCTTCATTATTAGCACCTCCTTATTTAACATCTGCTGCTGTCCGGGTTCAGTGGCTCAGCCTGTAATTCCACCACTTTGGGAGGCCGAGGTGAGTGGATTGCCTGAGCCCGCGGGTTCGAGACCCGCCGGGGCAACTTGGCGAGACCTTGTCTCTACAATACATCAAAAATTAGCTGGGCCTGGTAGGGCACACCTGTAGTTCCGGCTACTTGGAAGGCTGAGGCGGACGGATTGCTGGAACCCAGCAGGTCGAGGCTGCGGTGGCTGGGAGCGTGCCACTGCACTCCAGTCTGGGCGACAGAGTGAGACTCCAACTCAAACAAAACAAAACAAAACAAAACAACAAACATCGGATGCTGCCTCAGTGGTTCTGTTATAAAAATTTTAATGTCTGTGATTAAAATTCACAATTTAGAAGCACTTCTTAACACCTGAAGATGTAATTGTTTTAAAAAATAGAACTGGGGGCCAGGCGCGGAGGTTCACACCTATAATCCTGGTTCTTTGGGAGGCCGAGGCAGGAGGATCACTTGAGCTCAGGATATCAAGACCAGCCTGGGCAACATAGGGAAACCTTGTCTCTACAAACCCCCCCTCCCAAACTAGCTGAGCCTGGTGGCATGCACCTGTAGCACAGCTATTCGGGAGGCTGAGGTGGAAGGATTGCCTGAGTACAGGAGGTTGAGGCTATGATGAGCCGTGATGGTAGTGAGCGTCGTGGGTGACAGAGTGATACCCCAATTTAAAAAAAATGTATATACATAGAACTTGGGGTAAAGGGAGAGACCACTTCCAAAAACAGTTTTATTTCTTTTTTACTGTGGTGAAAAACACACAACATGAAACTCACCATTGTACCCATGTTAAGTACTGTAGAGTCCAGTGGCATCAAGTACATTCACATCCTTTGTCCACCCCCCGATATTATCCAGCCTCCCAAACTGACCCCATGTCCTCCTGGATATGAGGTGGTATCTCGTTGTGGTTCTGATTTGCATTTCTCTAATGTTTAGTGACGTTGAACATTTTTTCATGTGCTTATTCACCATTTGTGTATTTTCTTTGGGAAATTTCTATTCAAGCTTAAAATTTTTTGTGGGTTTTGTTACTGTTGAGTTTTTATATATTCTGGATACTGATCCTGTATGATTTGCAAACTTTTTTTTCCCATTCTGCGAGCTGCCTTTTTATTCTGTTAAAGTGTCCTTTGATGCACCAAAGTTTTTAATTTTGATAAAGTCCAGTTGATCAGTTTTTAATGTTTTATTGCCTGGAAATATACCCAGGAAATCCTTGCTAATTCTAGTATTGTGAAGCTTTCTGCTCTGTGACTTTTTTCTAAGAGTTTTCTAGGTTTTAGGTCTTACATTGAAGTCTTTGATGTACTTTGAGTTAATTTTTGTATATGGTGTGAGCATGCTTGACAAACATTTGACTGAATGAATGTATTATTTCTGGCATATAAGACTCCCTGATGTGGCCACTATGGTGGCTCATGCTTGTAATCCCAGCACTTTGGGAGGCTGAGGTGGGAGGATTGCTTGATCCCAAGTGTTTGAGACCAGCCTGGGCAACATAGTGAGAACTCATCTCTACAGAAAATTTTTTTATTTTTTGAGTTGGAGTCTCACTCTGTCGCCCAGACTGGAGTGCAGTGGCCGCTCCCGGCCACCGCAGCTTCAACCTGCTGGGCTCCGGCGATCCTTCCACCTCAGCCTTCCCAGTAGCCGGAATTACAGGCGCGCACGCTCAGCTGATTTTTTAAAAATTTATTGTAGAGATGAGGTCTCGCCTGCCCAGGCGAGTCTCGAACCTGCGGGCTCAGGCAATCCACTCACCTCAGCTTCCTAAAGGCGCGGGATTACAGGCTGAGCCACCGAGCCCAGCTTCTACAGAGAACTTAAAAAAAAATTAGCTGGCTTCTGACTCAAAAATAAAAAAAGACTTCTTGATAAAGAATATCATAAAAGCTGAGAACATTTCAGCTTCTTTTCAAACTTTAATTCAACAAGTATTTAAAGCCAGCAAATATGCCAGGCCTGTCTAGGGGCTGAGACAGTGGGGGTGATCACAAGATGGTGGCTCTGCCCCAGAGGCCTGCGTTCTAGCCTGGGACATCAGCTCCTTGCCTTTAGCTTTCTCAGTGGCGACCCATGACCATCCACATGTTAGACCCTGAGTCCAACATCTAGAAGTGGAAGGAAAGCACCGCCATGTAGCTGCTTACCCTCTGCCCATCTCTCGCTACATGGTTTTGCATGTCTTTTTTTTTTTTTTTTTTTTCATTAATCAGTATTTTTTATTATGGTTTTGTTAATCAGTATTTTTTATTATGGTTTTGTGGGGAACAGTTAAGGGTTAGGTGTACAATGACGTTTCATTCAGGCACCCTGTAGATAAGAAGTGTTTTCCCATCCCCCGACAGATATTTGCTACTGTTAATCCCATCCCCCTCCCCCCCATAGTTCCCCAGGACCATCATTCATTTTCTCATAGTATTGCATTGGATGTTCAAGGTCCATTATATGAGTGAGAACATGTGAAT